GTAATATTTTTCAATAATAGACCACTGATATAGTTTGAAAAAAATACTTTGATTTCGTTGGAGAAGATATCGAATGCCTGCGCTTACAAGCAGAAACTTCATAAGCCATCTTCAACTCAGCTTGCTGCAATCGTTTCACCTCTTTACGCTGCGCATCAGCCTGTTGTCGTTCAAATAAAGCTACCTGTTGCTGTAATTTGCGCTCCTCACGAGTCTAAATTTAAAAAAAATAAATGAAAAAAATAAGAGAAAATCTACATAAATGAAAAAAATTGCGTAATGACAATATCAATGCATCAACACTGAAAAAATTGACCACTGTTTTATTGCGATCTTCCGGTAAGGTATAATTCATTTCGTCCGGCGAAAATAAACCCAGCTTTTTCTGCATCCGTTGACAATGTAACATATTATCTGCTTCATTTTTATTGCATTCACCATGCTTCTTACTAACAGCTCCGTGCTGCTCAATTTTCAATGGTGATTCCTCTTTTTCAGGTGGATTGTTCCATTCATCTGCCGCATGGTCGCAATCTTCGTTAAAAGCTTTCTCAACATCATTCTCATTTTTTTCTGGGTTTATGACATTGCAACGGTTTGGCGATTCACCTTTTGAAACTTCATTCTTACATGAAAAAGATTCCAGAACCTGAATAATCCATGGATGAAAGTTTGTATAAAATCATCGTAAAAGGTTTTCTGGCACTTATAAAACTTTTATGATTGATAGCATAGATAATTTTTATTTTTTGAAGAAATAGGCTAAGATAAACTAAAAACTTTCAAGAAAATTTTTCCCATTAAAATAATTAACATCAACGTCAAAACTTACAGAATTATTGCCCAATATCGTATCCTTCGAATTAGGAAGAATCATTGAAAATTCTTTATCATTGACAGAATTATTCGCATCTTCAACATTTTCCTCGTTTTTTACATCTGGTTCATGTCTTGAAATTTGCAACTATGAATATAAAAAATCACCTTTATATTTACTATTATTATTATTTCTGCAAATAATTTTTTACTTTTTTCCCCATTTTCCATCCTTTTATTATAACCTTTTTATTTTGCATACTGAGCATTAATGCATTTTATCGCAAAAACAACATGGTATTCCTGGTATACCTCTAAATGATTTTAAAATTTACATATGCGAAAACCCACTTAATTCCACTATAACCATTTCCACCAACTTTTGGAAACGATTTAAGAACATCTCGTTCTTCCAACGCCAAACTCGCAGCAATCTTTGACGAACACCGCTTCAATTTGATGGACCCTTTCTTACGCAAAAACTTTGATCGTTTCTTTATCTTCGAATTTATTAATTTTTTCTTTTTTGATTGACTTTTGATTTCGCTGAAAAGCAAACCGCATGAAAAAAAGTACAATAAATGACGATTTGTTAAAAATGATTAAATATTTCTAAAAAATTAACCCTTTTCTTTTGCTAGTAGAGCCGATATTGTGCTCAACATGCCCAAAGTGCTCAACATCAGTTGATGTTACAGAAACTTGAGCTGATGAATCCGTTTGTTGCGTATTACTTCGTACTTTTATATTTATTCCACTAACAGAGGTCCTTGGGCGACCACGGCCATCAACTCGTTGTATTCTTTTGGCTTTTCGCTCCTGCGTTTTTTTCATATCATATTCTGTTGCTACCTTTAAAAAAACTCAGTTTCAAGCCAATTTTATTTCAAAAATAGCTTTCACTGCAGATAAAGAAGTTAGTAAAAGCGACAAATGAAAGAAATCATATGATGTAATATTTCATCATTGCAAAAATTAGACATTGCATATTATATTGGACACTGGACACTGGAAATGAAGAATTTTTGGATTTTATTTTGTTTATCTAATTGAGTACTTTGACTCGATTATCTATATTATACTTTGAGGTCAAATTCATATTATATATGGCATGAATTTTTATAATCTTAATAATTTTACTCGCATTTTCACGTGAATACTGGAACAGTAGGAGAATCTTAATTGCTTTCCTATATTATCAATATTTAGTATAATATAATATCAATATCAATACAAAACCAATTTCAAACAAACATATAACACGACTGAACGAAATATGCGCCAATTAATTGCTACTAGCAACGATATTAGCGAAGATTGTATATAATTGAACAGAAATTACCGTTCTACATCATATAAAAAGTTATTCAACTGAAGCGAATATCTTTCCATAGTATTAAGAACGTTGAAAAAGAAAGTTCGATTCATTCGAAGTGCAATTTCCTATGAATTCACTTATTTATGAGGAAAATGCCACAGTATCACCTGAACCAAAACAACTATTCCAGCATCAAAAGCAGCATCATCTTGACTTATAAAACACTTATAAAAACCTGGCAATTGCGAAAAAGGATCAAACAATTGAAAACCTTTAAATATTTAAAAAACCACTCTTTCACTTTTGTATGCATGAGGAAAATGCAATGCTTTCATTGCAAAAATTGAATAATGTTGTTGCACCAAACTCACCTAAAAACTACAATACAGTAATACAATTTTGTAGAACTCGGTTCCTTATAAGCATATATCGCCATAATATATCGCCAAATATAGATTTGATGAAGTAATTTTGTTATGTAAAAGGGTAGAAAATCCTCCTTCAATTCATGCGATATTTTTAGTTCAACAACATTAATTCTTATCAAACCTCAGCCACATTATATATCACAATCGTTTGCAGTAGAAGTGTTTAAAATATCATTAAAACTTTTTTCTAAAATGGAAAAATAATTAATTACTGCTGAATCAACATTCTTCGATTTTTAACCTACGTTAAATTTCTGATATAAATCACCATGAAATTCAACTGCATTGCTTTGTAGACGCTTCTGTATCAGTAATTTATAAGCTCCTTTAAAAACATGAAAATAAGACCAAGAATAAAAGAATAATTTATTAAACGTGAAATCTCGACTGGGATCAATAAAAGGCGAATGCATTTTCCTTGACTAGAATTTTTTCTAAAAGTTGTCTCCAATGACACTGATATTAACATTATGGCAAAATTGCTATATAATTGTACTAGAGTGGATTAACACTATGGCCACAAAAGACCACTCTAAATTCATTTATAATCAATTTACCAAGATCCGAAAAATGGTGTATTTAAATTTGCATCCACAGAAAATTCGATTTCAGCCCACCAAATTAGATAAAACAAATTTGGTATAACGACTTGGTTAGAAAGAACAAATGACGAATGCATCAAATTTGAAAGCCTCAATGTTAAAACTAATATTCCGATATAAAACTACTCCACTTGCCTTAAACTGCAACACCAAGCAGAAACTATTTTTACTTTATCGACGTTTCTCGAATTAGCATAAACTTCTACACTGTACTGCATTTATTCGATTTCTCAAAATTACTTCTCGCAAAATTAATCGCCTTATGTCGTTACAAAACGTTATGTTTATCAGCTATTGATTGAAAATATGAAAATAAAATCGATCAAAGGCTATAAGCGAATGATGATAAAAAAACACTGGATATACATATTATTCTTTGGATAATACCACTATAAAATTATTTCCAAACAACTGTCAATACTAGATTTCCGCCAAATATTATTGGATGAAGGTAAAATTAATCCCATTCAATAAAGTAATAAATGAGTCAAGTAATCAATTGATTTTACGACTCCAGACTAAAATAAATGATGTAAATTTTTTTTCTATAGGTAAGAATATAGTTGACTTCACCGTGAAATGTAGATTTAAGTCTTCGAAATTCTCCTTATTCGAAGTATAGTTTTACCTTATTATTATCGAACATATCAGTGGTTACGTGTCATGTACTTTGATTCGATTGTGATTTTAGAAGGCAAATTCTAGCATAAAGACATAAATTTTTACAAGATTTTGATTCTATTCTTATTTTTTTCGATTTTTCATTCTTACTTATCTACCATTATTATCAGTATCTAATATCTAATGAAATGGAGTAGTATTCGAAATAAAACCTTATTTAAAACTTTATACCCATTGTTCCTTTTTAATAATTTTCCACAGCTATATAAATATCTCTATACTTTTTCCTTTTTCTTAAAGCAATGATTTTAGATTTTCAAAGAATTATGATATTTTAATAGATGATAAATGCAAGCAATGCGCTTTGGTAACATCTTTAAAGTCCAAAGATATGACATTTGAATATACAACATAGTAAATTGCCCTCAATTTGTGAACGAACCGCTAGAACTACTCCCAGAAGCAAATGTGCAGAATTAGAAACAGCACAGCGTTTCACGCAATACCGTTTCATCTAAATGAGATAAAGAAAAAAGCTTGAAAAATTAGTATCACACGATTCAACCATCGACAGGTGAAGGATAGATAGGCATCTCCATGACCATCACCACCACGACACCTCTTTCAATGACAAGCTAATTCCAAAAGACAAGAATTGAACCTATGCCTGTTTGATTTAATCGAAGCATATGCTACATACGTTTGAAGATATGTTTTTCGTTTCTATCTCTTCTGGAACGGATTTTTATAAGGGATGAAAATAGATTTTAAATGGCATTTATATAAAAAAATGTTGATTCAATGAACCGATATGGGTGAATCTCCTTGATCTATGCGAAAATCCTATGCGATTTGACACGAAGATTACGACAGAATTACAGACTAATGAAATGTACTTGATACCTGACCCACCAGAAACTGCATCAACTATAACTGAACAACAGAATAAGTCCCATTTTCCTATATAACAGCGGACTGCATGTCGCAAGAATGATCTTGCAAAAATTTCTCGCTCAAACTTTCGCTTTTATTTCAAAAAATATGACTTTGAAAATGCCTTCCAATTGCTAATTTATTTCAAATATCTTTACGTAAATCAAAATAGCGGTAAATCGAAAATAAGATAGTAGTTATTTTTAATAAAAATATATTGAATTTTAATGAAGTTATTATTCTCGCGAAAATAACGATTCAAAACCACGAAATCTTCAAGGCCTAATAAAACAGTAAAAGGGATTTTAAAAAAATGAGGCAAAATGAACAAACCTCTCCGCTTATCAAAGACTTCATTTTCAGTTTTCGATTAAAATTTTTGATTTTACACAGACTCACTTCAACATCATCTTCCTCTTCAAAGGAGGATGCACAGGCGCAAGTTAAACTTAGAATGGACAACTGATAATCACTATCAAATGGCACTGTCAACTGAAAGCCAAAAAATTGAACATCTGACAAACAGAAATCTGGTTATAACTGTTCACTGACTTAGCATCATAAGAAGCTTGTCAGAAAATCATTTTGGAAAAGAAAGGTGGGTTTAGGATAAATTTTTTTTAAACGAAAAATTTATTTCTCAGAGGTGGGATCTTAACACTGATGCTCTGAACCATAAAATCTAAACAAACAGTCTCGATTATACTACATAATGGAAATATGGAAATATGTTCATTTAAAAAATAAAGTTCATGCTAGGATTCCACTTGTTATAGCCGGCCATATAGGTTGATGCTTTAAAAAGGTTTTAAAGAATGAAAGAACCTCATCAAGACGATCAATGCTACACTGTGCAAACCCAATTATATGCAATTTTCCTCCACAGAAAACGTGTTTAAGAAACAGATTTGGAGTGCAAGATCTTCGAACATATCTAGTTATGGAACCAGTTCGACGCGCGTCGACGCATATAGGTATTTCTTCTCCATTGAGTATTAAATTGCTAAAATTTGGCACTGGTGTTAAAAATCTTACAATGTAACGAAAAATATTTCATTTTCGGGATAAAAACTCAAAAAAAACCTGTATAAAAAAACGAATGGCAAAATTGTGCCAGGTTTTTCACGCCCAATACATTCATTTTGCAAACAAATACGACCAGACAGATACATAACAGGTTCATTACGAGAAAAAGCACGATCCGCAACCAGACCAGTACAACTTGCTACAACGAACATTGATCGCACATCACGATTACTGCACACCAATTCCACAACATACGCATCATCCTAAAATAAAGATAGTGAAAAGATAGTTAAACATATTCTATAGAGAACAATAAAAATGAGTTTTCAAAATATTTTATATTTCGTTTCACATCCATTTTTCCCAAATGTTCAAGAAATTATAAAAATGGCGATTTTTTTAGTCAAATAGAAAATCACAAACCGTATCAGTTTCCTTTCTCGAAAAAGCCAGTACTCCTCGTGAATACTCATTTATATTTGTTTCGATAAATGACTTTAAAGATTTTGGAACAGTTATTTCTTTCTTAGCTTTTTTCTGAAAAAAAATCGAATGTAATATAACTTATTGCATATATAAAACAATAATAATCAAAATACAATATTAATTTAATAAAACTTACTACTTTCGTTCTCTTCTGTGTTGTTCCAGAATTTTTTCTATTTCGCTTTTGTATTACATTCTTTCCATGGCGTAACTGTAGTAAGATTTTATTCTGTAGTTCATATGCCTGAGCTTTCGTTAATTTAAGCGTTCGTGGATAACATTCTTCACATTTATATACCTTAGGAATTCGACGCTGATCAACACCCATGCATTTCCCATGCTGCCAAACACTATAAATATACACGTTATAGGAAAAAAATAGGAAAAAAAAATAATGTCCACAACATTCTACAAAGATAGAACAAAAAAAATATGAGACTAGAATTCTTAAAATTTACTCCTTGAAACTTTTTTGAAAAGAATGAAGTCAGGAAAAAAATATAAACCTAAAATCCGAAAAAAGATATTTTATATCACATAAAATCGAAACAATAATCAATCTTAGCTAAATAAAAACTAACTTGCATATATCACACTGTATCATAAAATCATCATTATGATCAAGACCGCAATAACAACGAGTAGTATAATCCTCGTTCCACTCGTCGTCTGCATTTTCAGCACGAGAACGAGAGCCAGATAATGAAATACTAGAAACTTTACCATCTCCCTCTTCTTCAGTTCCTTTTTCTTCAGTCACATCTTCTAAAATTATCAAAATTGAAAAATCGACGGCGAAAAATGGATAAATTTATTTGCAGGAAAAATGAATATGAAAATGAATTAAGGAAAGAAAACTAGTACTAAAACTAGTAAAACTAGTAATGACTCAAGAAAAGCACTATACCTGTTAAGCTGGTTTCTTCTTCTTCTGCAGCACTTAGTGAATTACGAGTGGCTGATGAAGGTTGATGAGATAATAAATACCCTTTCGCACTAATATCAATTCCATTACCTTCACTCGATATTTCGCTTCCACAGGCCTTTTGTTCATTTTCATGTGCTACACGAGTAGCTGGATGATGTTGGGTAATATAATTAACATTTTCTGCTATATGTGAAGTACTATCAACACGAGAACCTAAAAAAATATCAGAAAATGAAGTTTCCAATTAAAGCATATGAATCAAACATCTTGCGACTATTGAAACTTAACTTACCATACATATGCTGCTGTATTAAAAATCGCTGCTCAGGAGAACCTAAGTGAGTTAATCGATCCTGCCGATTGACAAATCGGCGTTCTTGGTTTGTAACCTGTTCATACTGTTGAAAATGTATATTCGGTTGGGCTGAAGTTGTTAGAGATTGTTGCAATGGATAATCGAATTGCTGTGGCAAAGAAATAGGGTTGCGATTTTGTTGAGACAAATTAATATCCTGCTGCGAAAAAATACCGGCAACATGACCAGGAGATATTGGCACTTGACGAACTCCTCGTGCAGTGTTATTCGTTCTTGATACCTATAGAGATGTTGATAAAGAAACTGGAATACTAAAAAGGAGTTTGCATCAAAAAAAAACATACAAAAACAGAAGAATTCGTTGACTGCAATATATTGGGATGATAAATGTTCCTTTGTGAACTGGATAAATATGGAGACACTGTCGAAGATCGTTGTTCATCACTATAAATGCTATTCGCACCATTAAATGCATTTGTAGACGAACGCAACCGCTGCGGCTAAACGCGTGAAAAAATTAAAGCAAACAATAAAAGACCGAAACGGATATAAAATCAATATAATCCGCATAAAATTCCTTAGAAATAACTCATGAATTAACCTTTATTATGTAAAATAAAAGAAATCGTATTAGAGAAAGTGTAAAAAAGTAAATATAACTTATAACTTTTATTTTGTTTACGTCATCATATTTTTCTTAAAATCGTTAAAAATGACTTCTATTAATAATACCTATATTCTAATGTTTTAGTTGAATACCAAATGGATATTTATAGCCCTATAAAAAATAATTACTGTGTCAACTGCAACTTCTGGCACCCTACGAATCGCTGTTGTATCTCTTGACTGATTATCTACTGCTGCAATACTTGGCACTCTAATACGTTGAGGATCAACATTATCATTTAGTAAAGAATTGACGGCATCGCCTACTTCACTATAAACATATCCCTCTTCTTCAACACAGCGCATCTGAAATGATTATTCTGCAATATAAAATTTGAAATTTTTGAAAATTTTTCTACTAATAACATCCACTTAATAAATTCCTATTTTTAGTCACTTTATTTTAGAAAACTGGATTAACATACCTCGAAAGAAGAGGGAAAAAGATATGCACATAGTAACAAATTAGTGCAGTATAATATTCTACAGAAAACTTTCGGCCCTAACCTACTGCAACAAAATGCTTGCAAAACTTCATGGTATTACAACTGGATCTGAAGGGAATTATTTAGGTCTGAAGAAGCGGATATTTACAGTCTATTATATTAGCCGTTTGAAATTTAAGAAACGCTTTTTCTATATTCAAACGAACAAGAGATGAAAACTTTAAAAGAAATCATTATCATTTACTATTGTCTACGAATGATTCCGAATAAAAACAACTCACTCCATATGAAGGTCGGGCAGAATGTTCAATCTGTGGCACATGGCACGGTTCAACAGGTTCAGCCATAACATATTGAGATTTACTAGGTCCTAAATGTTGACTGAATTGATGCTGTGAAGTTCCATGAGTCGTAGTCACCACTGCAACAGTTGAAGAACCGTCTACTTTACGTTGTGATGCTATTGGTAATTTTTGGAACCCACCCAGCTGAAAATTTAAAATATTAGTGATTAAATATAAAGCAAATAACAATGAAGAAAAATGGCCGAAAAAAATTAATACCGCGTTCTGATCAGGCTGCTCGCGTTCCCGCCCACGTCCTCGGCCAGCTTGAACTAAAAAAAATATTGGAAGATAGATGATAAATTATGATAAATAGATGATAAATTTTTTAACTAATATCACGTAAAAGATAAGATAAATTAATTAGAATCACCAACAGAGACATGGTTTTATTGCATATGGAAAGAAATTAATTATGATGCTAAATTAATTTTGAAATATAATCACCCATAAATATACCTAAATATATCTTATAAATATATCTAGAAATATATCTAGAAATATAAATATATCTTTGAAATATAATCACCCATTTCAAAGAAACATACCTTTACTCCGTATCGACGATCGCGAATTTCGAGCTGGTACAATGAAAGGAGCAGGTGCATTATCATTAGCTGCACGCATAGGATCCGCTGCTATACTGGCAGCATTAACCGATGATATATATGCTGGAAGTGAAGTTGAAATTGATTTTGATGAAGACATAGTGGGACTATTAACACAACCGCCTGCCAAGTGACTTCGTCCAAAAGTGTTGGCATCATTCAAAATTCTAAAAATATCAAGCATATATAAAATGTTTCCATGAAATCAAAATTCTAAATATAAAATAGTCTTTCAAATTTCCAATTACTTTATCCAAAAACTTAATTAAAACTTAAAAATAAAGAAATTAATATCAGTAAATTCAAAAAAGCCAAATAATGTTCAAGGAACTTTGCCCAGAAATATAAGCAAATAATTTTGAGAAAAGATTATTTTATTACCCTGTCTTCGCAGGTTTCTTTATAGGAGAAAGATTAACGTGGGCAAAAGAAGCATTTCCACGCAAACGACGCCCGCCAAACTGACCCATACACGAAGCATTAGAGGTCACGCCAGTTGATATAACATCTGCAAAATGAATAATTGGAAAACTGAAAATAATATATTTTCAACACACATCTCGAAAACTTTTCATATGATAAAATTTTTCGTAAAATAATGTAAAATTAAACCTTTTGATGCGGAACGGTAATTATATGGAGGAACAGAAGACGGCTGGCGCACATATGTTCTACCTCCTATTGTAACAAAATTCGACCTGAAAATACTATTTCCTCTTTAAGAAAAAAAAGATATAAAAAGAGAAAATTTGGTAAAACAAAGACAAAATTATTTAAATGTAAACGATTTTCATTATTGCCATATTAAGACTGAACAAGGTGATGCTTATTTTTCTCGAAAAGCAATATTATTTTTCCCAAAACAAAGTGCAAAATTTTCCATTGAATGTTTGGTTTTCGCAAGAAACAATATGATCTTCAAATTATTCATGATAAATGAAGAATTCACCACAAAAACTGAATGAAGAATTACTAAAATAATCATTCAAAAAATTTTAATAAAAATTCGTGATATAAGACAAATTTTGATAGAATTGCTTGATAAATACCCTATATTTTGCACAGATCGATGCTGCATATATTGGCCAGTAAAGTGAGTGAGATTGCTGAAATTTGATGCGTGCTCTAACCTTCGAAAAAAAGGTTCTCGAACCGAATGCCTCCTAAAACATTTTAATTCTTCAAATAAAAACTGAAAATGAAAGAAATAAACTGCACAAATACTGCTGAAAATAATAGGCAACAAAAATTAAAAAGTCATATTTTCTTACTTATTCGATATATTTTCTGTTTCATTAGAAAAATGACCACGATCTGATGAATTCGTAGAACTGCACATTTCTTCTGAATTTTTGCAAAAATTAATTTAGGAATCGAAAATACTTCTAATGAAACAATAATTTCTTCATCTTAATTCATTTGCACTTGAAGTTGTAACGCAAAATTATCTAACAAAACTATTCTAATTTACAAAACCAAAAATTAGCAATACTGTTAAAACAGTCACACCTAACAGCAACAAATAAAACCACTCCGCTAATAAAAAATATAATGATACCCAAATATGAAGCTAGACCACCCATAATTGGAAACGGCTGTGCATTCGAATCTTCACGATGATGAGTAGCAGACCGAGGAAAGCAATCATAATTGTGATCCTAAAATTTAATTTAGTGAAAAATTGATGAACACAGCTTGGTTAAACAGAAAATTCAATCAACCAATAAAATGCACCAAATTTCAATGACAATCTTCCAAATTTTCCTTCAAAAATTTATTTTAACACGTAATACGTCAATTAACACGTAATTAACAAATACCAAAACTTACGTGGAAAAAAATCTTAATTTCCAAATTTCATTCCAAATCCATTTCAAAATCACAAAAATTCATTTACAAAAAACTAATTTTCTGATATAGAATATATGCAAAAATATGTTTCAGGACAATTTAATTAATGAAACTAAGAATCTTATTAAGAATGAAACTAAGAAAAAAACTTTATTTACCAAGAAAATATATTTTGCAAAAAAAACAATTAGAAATAAAATAATAAAATTTACGTGATAAGCCAATCCATGCATTTTCACCATTTTAAGACTGATTTCTTGACTTTCCTCTTCATCATCATCCTCATCATCAATTATAACGCGTTTTATATGACAATTATCGCTCCTCACATCTCTAAAAATTCTTTTTGTTAAAGATAAAAAATGATAATAAGCGCAAGTTGGAGTTCTTTCGAAGAAGATCGATATAAAAAATCGATATACAAATCGACAATTTAACATCCAGCATCTATAAGCGTTAAAAATAACAAACTGCATGCAGCAATTTCATATAGATGCTCATAGAATAAGCATAAAAAATAAAAAAAAAATTATGGTTTTATGAAAAGCAAACAACCCTCACAACGAAAAAAATTTTCCATTTCCGTGTAATATCAACTAACATATTTTTTAATTGCCCA